CCCTTTAAGAGTGCAAAGGCTTGAACTGAAGACGAAATGTATAAACATGTTGCAGTGTGTTTCAATCATTTTTACACATTATTATGTCATACATGTATGGTCATTTCAATATTAAGATGCTTTACCTGAAAGCAATATAAATAAAGAGCTTAATCTTGCATGAAGGAGCATCATAGCGTAAGTGCTAAATACTTAATTAGTTGAATAACTAGACAAGTGGATGAATATATCTTAAGTAATCAAGTGGAGTGACTGCCTCTAAATAAGCTAAGCAATCAACTCTCTGCTAGAATCATAAACACAGGAGTGGGAATTTTTAGATAGGGAAATTAAGAAAACTCTTTCACCTTCTGTATAGGCTAATCTTTCTAGATCTGTACCTCTGGAAACCTATGTAGGTAGACTATAAGTTGTGATACTAGGCAAAACTGTTTATGGTAAAACTGACCCCAGACTGATCAGATTCCATCCACTCTGAGGGACTGGTAAATACTTGATGGGAATCCACAGATTTGTGGAGTCCCTGAATTTGATGACTTTTGTCATTGAGCATATTCCTTGTGGGGATGGTAGAACTGTGTTTGTGAAAATTTGCACAAGATATTGGCCCCAGATGGGCATAGAACTACTAAGTTAAATGGGATCTTTGTTTGTTTGGTTTCTAAGATGGGATCTGCCTATGTTGCCTGGATTTGTTCAAACTTGTGGGCTCAAGAGATCTTTCCACATCAGCCTCCTGAGTAACTGGGACTACAGAGATAGGCCACTAGGTTCCACTGAGGTGAATCTTATACCCAATGGTTTGGTTATTATCTTCTTGCACATAGGGGTCCAAAGAAATTTACTTCACTGATCACTGTTTAGACTCTTGCAAGGACTAATCTCATTAAAGAAAAATACCTGATGCCACCCTGCTTTAAACTGTGTTCCCGGTCTTCTACCCTTCTAAGTGAATCTGATGGCAAATGTGGCCCATGTTAGTTTCATAAATATAAACATTGAGTTGGACTTTAGAAGAAGACTCCCTGGCGGGCACTACTAAATGGAATGTAAGTGCTTATCTGGTCCAATTCCTCCTGCAATGATTGAATTTATTCTATTCTATTCTTGCCAAGTGGTCAGCCTATATTTAAAACATTCCCTTGGATAACAAATCCTGTTAAAGCAGACCAGTTTATTTTTGAACAACTTCTAAAAGAATAGATGCCTAACAGAGCCACTTCAAGCATTAAGTTGGAGGGAGTTACAAAATGGGGGTGTTTCTCCAACGACAGGAATCAGCTATCTACTCATCCTAGGCAGCACTGAACTCTGAATTGAGGGCTTTGAAGTAGTATGATTTGTGAATTCGTCTATTTATTGCTCTGATTTGACACCATAAAAAAGTATAAAGCTTATTACTTTGTTACTCCCAAATTAAAAAATGTTGTTAGAACTTATCATAAATAAAAAAAATTATCTTTAAAAACAAATCAACAATACATTATATATTTACCGCTGGTGGTGATGTAGGCTCCATATGGAATTTATCTGGAAAAGCTCTGCTTAATGTCAGGTGCCTGGCATGCTGGTAATACTGTCGATAGAAAACCAGTTCATGGGTTAAACAATAGATAGATATAGATATCTAAATAATTGCATTATTATATAAGACTTTTTTCTTATACACATATATAACAGATTATATATGTGTATATATATATATATACACACATATATATGTATATATATAAATGTGTTTGTGTTTACACACACATATATTTTAAAGTGGCAGAAACTATTCAATCAATTTAAGAATTAGGAAAGAAATGATTAGTTATGGTATTATTATTTTTCAATGCATAGGCAAAAAAGAAATACAAAGTTGGGAGGAAACAGACCATACTGAGCTCTGAATTGAGCACTATGGTGACTGAAAACACTGGTTTCACTCTAGAGAAACAGCACAGCACAGAAAGGAGATGAGGCTGTAAGTCAGAGAGACTAGGTGTAAATCCTGCTTCAAATTTTAAGTAAGAAACAATTTCTAAGAGCCTTGTCTTACCGTTTTCATTTAAAAATAAGGATAGTAAAATTCACCCTCCAAGTTGTAATGAAGCACTGGCATTACTACCTGTAGATGCTTAGCAAACGGCCTCTGTCATTTGGCTGGGAAAGTTCAGCTTGCATAGCAAAATCCATATATTTATTATTGAACCATTCAGTTCTAAGATATGTGACTATTTGAGCTTACAAACCTATTGCTTGACTGAATGGGGGCCTTTCCTGTACTCATCATTTTGAAAAATAATGTCACTTCCACCCCTGCACCGTAGGTGAGGAAATTCTTAATGTTTTCCTCTTCTTCAGGAAATGTCTCTGTATACCTGTAATGCATTCTGTTAAGCATCAGCAATAGAATAACTAGTTAGATTACTGCTAGATCCTGATGGACTTGCTATTAAGATAGACTCAAACCAAATGTGAATAATTGGGCTTAGGAATTTGAAAACTCACATTAAGTTTAAAAGTACATGAAAATATCACTGAGATTTGAACAATTATGATACTCAACTAACTTCACAGATTTATAACTAAAATCAACATTTTAATGGAATTTTTAAAGTTGTCCTCTGTGTTAACAAAAAATTTGCTTACTCTCCCTAGGTATCTCCAATCCAGAAGATCTGAGAGCCTCTCAGTCCGGTTCCTTTGGATGATTCTTTGGCGCCGTGACTGTTTGCAAAATCCATAGAGAAACTGAGTCAGCTGATTGCAAGAATCATCTGGAGAGCAGAATCGCCTGTCAACAATGTAGATACCTGGAGAGCACAAAAGTCAAAGAATAGGTAAAAATAGGACAAATCTTAAAACATTTATTCTCTTATTCTCCATTATCTCTTTAGTTCTACCAAAAACCATATGCATCATATGCTCCCTGACTCAATTATTGCCTCCACTTGGTCTTTTCTCTTTTAAGGCTTAATTTTCTTCTGTAATATCCTTCTAATGGCTTAAAACCATCACCAGCACACGTCCAATGAAGAGAATTTTACTTAGAAAAGTCTGGTTCTCTAGTTATATGTTTCCAGGGGATGCTCACTAACCAGAATCTTGGAGTGGAACTTGGGTATCAGTGCCTTTTAGACTCCCCAGCATTCCCACCATGCCCGCCACGGCTGAGAACCACACTCTAGTCTGAGGTAAGAGAGCAGTGCCATTGTAAGTACCAAGGGAATTGAATAGGTGTAGGCAAAGAATCCATTCCATTCTAACTTTTCTTTCTGCTAAGCAACATAAACAAATAGATGGTGATATACAAACTTTCCTATCTTAAAAAATTACGTGAATTTTTCCAATTTGCAATGACCTTTAAAATAATAATATATTTTTTTCTATATAACAATCATTATAGGTACTCTTAAGACTATAGTTATTGTAATATCACTTCTAGGAAGTAGAGGACCTAACCAGACTTAAGACAAACAACAACCACTACAAAACAAAACAAAACAAAAAAATAGGTGAAGGGCAAAGTTTGTCCAGGTTTTGCAGTCCTTATGCAGTTTCTCTTTGGGGAAATATAGTTACTAATAATAGCATTCTTATTTATGGATCACATAATTTAATCTGTTTTTAATTATAAAAGAAGTATAAAATAAACATCAGTTTAATTATCAAAACAACATTAGACTTAGGTTCCGTTAAGACCCTGCGCTCTATGTGGTTAGAGGTCAGTCCTCCCAGGATTAGATTAAGGATGAAAAACCTCACCATAAGCAGTAGGATCAGCCACGTGCTCCTGCATGAAACAACCAAAGCCAGAGAGGTTTGTGGTCACACTGGGGATACCCATCACGGTGCATTCAGCTGCCAGGAGAAAACAAAGGAATCCATTGACTTCCAGCTGTCTCCTACCTTCTATATGCATGCAGAGGAGGAATGTCAGGCATGGTACTAAGCTCTTCACCTGCATTATTAATCATTTAATCATCTCATCAACCCATGAAGGTTAAGTAACTTGTCCCCCTTCACAAAGCCAGGACACGTGGTCTAGCTGAGACTTGAAGCCTGGCATCCAGCTCCAGAGTTCTTGTTCTGAATGTATGCTCCACTGCCTCTCTAAGTGCCCCTGGTTTTGCTTGTTTGCTCCATTGTAAGCTCCTGACTCGACTTGTCAAGTTTATGGGACAGAATAAATATGCCTCAAACACAATCTGCTTCTCCTTTCATTGAGTCTTCTTTGCACAAACTCCTTTCACTTTCTTAAGTGTTTGGTGAACCCATGATCTCTTTCAGTCCTCCCTCACTTTTTGATCAAAATTTGTTTCCCAGAATATGTTTTATCTTCTATATCTTTAACACTCTACTGCCTTCCAGAATGTCTGAATTTCTAACAAGGAATCTATATTTCATTATGGAGTTACTATTGATAACAAAGGTATCTCCCCATTACCCATGAAGTTCAGGCAGCAGTTTCATCTCTTGCTGTGCAAGTATTTCCTCCTGGCTAGAAAGAGCACAAGGGGTTCTCTGATTTGGGGGGATGATGAAGGGGAAAAAAGTGCTTAGATATTACCAATCCCTTTGAAAACCTGATGAAAATTCTGAAACTTCTCACCAGAAAAAAAATCTTATGTACCCATGGAAACTCACAGATCCTTATTTTTTAAATTGAATACCTTTATAACACCTAATAGTAAATTGCCAGGTAACCATGCAAACTCAATATCTGTTCATTGAATAAATTAAATAAAATAAGTGCTTCTTTTACACTGTTGGTGGGACTGTAAATTAGTACAACCACTATGGAAATCAGTATAAAGGCTCCTCAAAAGACTAGGGATGGAACCACCCTATGACCCAGTTATATCATTCCTTGGTATTTACCCTGAACAATTAAAGGTATCTTACTACAGTGATATATGCACATCCATGTTTATAGTAGCACAATTCACAATAACCAAACCATGGAACCAGCTTAGGTGTTCATCAACAGAGAAATGGATAAAGGATATATACACAATGGAGTTTTATTCAGCCATAAAGAATGAAATTATGGCATTTATAGGAAAATGGATGGAACTAGAGACCACCATTTTAAGTGAAATAAGAAACTCAGAAGCATAAGGGTGGTATGTTTTCTCTCATATGGGAAAGCTAGAGAGGAAAAAGGAAAACGAAGGTGAAGATGGATCTCATAAAAATCAAAGGGAGATCAGTAGAGGAAAGGGACCAAGTGGCGGGAAGCAGGAAAGGAAGGGGAAAATGCTAGGGAGTGATATTGGCCAAGTTATATTGTTCTATTGTGTGCATGTATAAATATGTAACAACAAATCCTATCAATATGCACAACTACAATGCATCAATAAAAATGTGGAAAAGGGATGGGGTTGGAGCTCAGTGTTAAAGTGCTTGCCTTGCATTTGTGAGGCACTGGGTTCTATTCTCAGCACCACATAAAAATAAATGAAATAAAGGTCCATTAACAACTAAAAAAATTAAAAATAAAAATGTGGAAAAAATAAGTTAAAAATTAAATAAGTGTTTGTATTCATTAGAGCAGACTTTAATGAATGCATTTTGGAATAAATTAGACCCAATATCACATAAGATTATTCTAAAAATAAATTAGATTTATCTAATATGTGATTGCTAAATTTATACCACCAAAGTCTTGTTTCTTTAACTATAGATTAGGTGAGCAGTGACCAAATCTTTTTGGTTAATTTAAAAGACAGACTGGACTCATTTACTCTGGAGTATTCCACAAATTCCTTTCCCTATCTACATATCTTTTATAACATCATCTCTGGCCTTTATATGACAACATTAGATATAGTTTCCTATATCTAGGAAACTATAAGTTTGCCCTGGTTCTATAAAATAACATTCTGGTGGAAAGACAACTGTTAGTGATATAACATTCTCTTCACCCAACACAAATGGTTTCCCCATATTTCTTTGTTCATTCGTGCATTTGCTTTTTACTCTTCTTCTGTCTGTGATACTTCCAATAGTAACTTGCATTTCTGTTTGGGGGGTGGGGTTACCACTGGGGATTGAACTCAGGGGCACTCGACTACCCTACCACATTGCCAATCCTATTTTCTCTTTTGTTTAGAGACAGGGTCTCACTGAGTTGCATAACCCCTTGCTTTTGCTGAGGCTAGTTTTGAATTTGAGATCCTCCTGCCTCAACTTCATGAGCCGCTGGGATTATAGGTATGTGCCATTATGCCTGGTGTAAATTGCATTTCTTATTAGAAATAACAGAAGCAATAACAAAGTGTTAAGTTTATCAGTAAAATATTTCATTAAATGTTCTATTAAAGAAACAAGCTAAGATATTATGTGGACATTTCATAAAGTTACCACTTCACAAAAGTGGAACTGTGCCAGTAACAATTTTTAGAACTATAAGAGAGATAATCAGAGGAGTTAGAAAAATAAAAATTTTACGTCATGTTTCAAGAAGTAGTAATCTTTTGTCTAATTTTTCAAAACATTTTAATGTTTTTACAGCTGTAAGGAAATTATCCATAGTAGAACCTCAAGCAATAGAAGAGACCTTATTGACAGATGCAGAACTCTCATTTCATTTCTGTTATAAGAATTACAAGGTGTAACTACAGGATTTTAAAATCTATGTTTAAATTCTGGGATAAGAATGCAAATATTAGAAAAGTTCTTCTCTTTCACAATCAGCCTGTTCTTCCCTTTACCTTGGCCTGTGCTGCCCTCAGCTACTGGAGCTTTACGTCAGTGATGGCATTGAGATGCAAAAAGCAACATTTATTCTCTTAATTATAAATATTTTTTCTGAACTTCATCTTCTAAAATTATTAAAAGAATTGTATCTAAATCAGGAAGAATATCTGTGATTACCAATAGGAGACAAGAAAGTCATTATTTATTTTTTGCAGTATCTTTCAAAATTTTATTTCCCTTTTATTATTTATTCAATTTTTGTGTGTGTGTGTGATGCTGGGGATTGAACCCAGGGCCTTGCACATGCTGATCACAAGTTCTACCACTGACTTACAAACCTGGTGCTAACAATAATCCTGTTATTAGAGACCAGAAAGGAAAAACAAATAGCAGATCTGACAATCCACCATCTGTTAAACAAAACAAAACAAAACAACAACAACAACAACAAAAACAGGAGTGGGAGGAACTTCTCAATGGGATAATGCCATTGGTGACAATCCCTACCATTGAATTTTATTTCTTCTTCTTCTTTTTTTTTTTTTGCTTGTTGTTTTTTCATTTTTTAATATTCATTTTTTCAGTTGTAGTCAGACACAATACCTTTATTTTATTTAATTACTTATTTTTTATGTGGTGCTGAGGATTGAACCCAGGGCTATGTATGTGTTACGAGAGCGCTCTACCACTAAGCCTTAACCCCAGCCCTTTTCATTTGTTTTTTAGAGAGGAAGGAATGTGAAGATTTTTCCCTGTGCACTTTTTTCTTTACTACTGTTTTCTTTAACAATGTGACTGTTACCTAATACAGATTGAATGCATCCCTTAATTTTACAAAACATATTCTTCTTAAATAAGTTCAGAGAACTATATTACTAGAATATTATTTATCACATTAACTCTACTTGCAATTTCTCCTTCATATTAGTGAAGAGGATGAGTAATCTATATAAAACCTTCTTTTTCTTTGGATTGCAATGAACCAATAATTCGAATAGCCATAAAAGTATGACCAACCATATCATGTTATACTTACATAATCTTTGTCCTTTTTCTTAAATCAGGATCTACAAAGCATAAAATTGACCACTGAGATAGATCCAATTAAAATCATTTTTAAAACAAACTGAAACATCAAGACCTTAGTAGAAATTACATATCAACTTTAATATTATGTGCATACACATAAAATAACAATAAAAAATCCAAACATTCTACAATCTGTATATGTCACGTACCTGGAGTATAACCCCAGGGTTCATAGTATGATGGAAAAACTCCAAGATGACAACCTCGGACAAACTCTTCATAATCCATGGGTAACAAGGGGCTGGTGGAGGATAGAAACTCTGGGTGTAAAATCACCTAAAAAAAAAAAAAAAAAAAAGGAAAACTCAAGTGAGAAAAAGAGGACAATTAAGAAACAACAAAATATCTCCAACAATTTGGTTATTTCCATAGAACCCTTATGTTTTATGTCCAGAGGAAGAGGGAAGAAAGAGATAAGAAAAAAGGAAAAGCAAAGAGCCTAGATGTTTTTTCCTCCCCTCTCCACTCTGTATAATGCCTCCTCTGGTTTCAGGGCTCAGATGGCAGGCTAGGGAGTTGGCATGCTTACTTTTACTCTCACCCTAAACTACATATCCTCCAATCTAGCCCTGATTTATATTTGTTTCTGCAATCACTGATTCTGTCTTATTTATCAATTTATTCGTAACTCAAGTAGGCAAGAGGGGAGCTATGTAACAGACCATTCTCACATGTTCCATGCGCAAGGATCCCATCCAGATCAGATCATACAAGAGGATCTCACCCAAGCCACCATACTCTCTCCCTTGGAGGCAATTACTTCCTACTATGTCTCCTTGCTTTTTTTCCCACAAGGTCCCTACTCAACAGAACAATGGAAGTGACCCTTTAAAAATGTCAGTCACTCCCCTGCTCAAAATCTCTTTTCACTCAGAGTAAAAGGCAACATGTTTACCGTGGCCTGTTTGCAGTGGTACGCTGGCATCTACAAACTGAGAAACCAGAGTATAAATGTCTATTTGATATGTTTATTATAAATTCTAATCATACAGGTGATATATAGCATACAATTTTCAAATAATAAAAAAATGTACATATGAAACACCTGAGTGCAGGTTTTCATATCAGCTTTATACATAATTGCCCACACTTAGATGCAACCAGGATGTCCTTCAGTAGGTGAATGGATGACTTAATTATAATACATGCAAACAATGGGCTATAAATCAGTACTGAAAAGAGTTAAGCTATTGAGTCATGAAGACATAGAGACTTTAAATGCATGTTACTGAGTAAAAGAAGCCAATCTGAAAAGGATACAATGTGTATGGCTTCAACTATATGACTTTCTGAAACACAAAAAACTACGAAGAACGTAAAAAGATCAGTGGTTGACAGGGGTTAGGGGGAAGGGAGAAATGGATAGGCAGAGCAAAGAGCGGTGAAACTATTCTATACCAGACTGTAATAATGACTACATGTCATTCTATTCATTCATCAGAATCCACAGAATGTATAACACCAAGAGTGAATCTTGGTATCCTGTGATAATGTTGTGCCAATGTAGGTTCATGGTAACAAATGTACCTCTAGGGTGAAGGATGTTGATAATGGGCAGGCTGTTCATACCTGAGGGCAGGCGGTAAATAGAAACCCTCTTAATTTTGCTGTGACCTAAAATAGCTCTAAAAAAATGAAGTCTATTAAAATGTATATGTATATAATACTCTTTTTTGTTTGTTTGTTTTTTGAGAGAGAGAGAGAGAGAGAGAGAGAGAGAGAGAGAGAGAGAGAGAGAGAGAGAGAGAGAATTTTTTAATTTCGGCGGACACAACATCTTTGTTTGTATGTGGTGCTGAGGATCGAACCCGGGCTGCAAGCATGCCAAGCGAGTGCGCTACTGCTTGAGCCACATCCCCAGCCCTATAATACTCTTTATTGCAAATTCTTTTTCTTTAATATTTATTTTTTTAAATTGTAGTTGGACACAATACCTTTGTTTATTTAATTATTTTTATGTGGTGCTGAGGATCAAACCCAGAGCCTCCCATGAGCTAGGTGAGCACTCTACCTCTGAGCCACAACCCTAGCCCCTCCTTATTGTAAATTCTATATAGTCAATTAGTTCTCACAAAATGCCAAAATCTTTGCTAATCAGTTTATAGCTTCAATTGACTGAATGTAGTTCTGGCCTAAATGTTGATTCCCTTTGTTAATGAGTAAAAGTGAAAGATAGAGATGTTTATCAGAATTTCATAGATTCATCAGTGTGACAATTGACTTCTTTGTTAATTTGGATATTAGATTTTTATGTATTTTTATTTTTAATTGCTTTTATTTTTAAATACATGACAGTGGAATGCATCCACAATTCTTATTAAACATATTGAATATTAGATTTTTAATATGAAGAAAATATTTTGTGTCATTAACAACATAATGGCTACAGAACAAAACATGTTTCTAAGTTTCTTTTGCATTATTAATATTTTCAAATCACTTTCTTAAATCCAGAGGTCAATACACATTTTTTTTTTCTTTTTGCAGTACTTGGGATCAAATTCAGGTTCTCACAAATGTCAGGTAGGCACTCTACCACTGAGTAACATCTTCAGCCCTCAATGCACAAATCAATCAATCTGTGATTTGTAGTTTTTGCCTATTTTCACTCTACAAATACTCCTATGTGCTGGGGACAATGATGCATGCTTGTAATCCCAGTGACTCGGGAGGCTGAGAAAGGAGAATCACAAATTCGAGGCCAACCTGAGCAATTTAGCAAGACTCTGTCTCAAAATAAAACAAATCAAAACAAAACAAATAATCCCGATGGTCAGCTTCATGCTACCAATGTGATGTCTCTGAACTTGGAGGTGGGGAGAACAGTAGCACATCCTTATCGAGTACTTGGGTCAAATGAACAGGATAGGCATAAATAACCTCAAAGCATAGGCAATAATAACATGTAGCAAACAATAAAGATTTGCTGAATTGTAAGCATTACTTTTCTCTTTAGTATAATTTATTTATTTACTTATAAATTTACGTAAGATTTCATGACAGCTATATTTCAAACTGGCTCACAATATTTCTGAAAGTATAACAATGGACTTTTGTGCACTGGTATGAACAACTGGTATGAACAACACTGCCTGTAAAGTTCTGAAAGGCAGCAAGAAATCACAGTTATAATTGGAAATTTGTGACTTGAACAGCTATTTAATTTGCTACCTGTATGAATGAATGCTCCTATTTCTCATATTTAATATAATCTTCAGTTACTATTATTAGATTATCTCTCTGCTTTCGCTGTACCTAAATTCAGCCATTTCTCCATGGAACACTAATTCCTTTCAGTGAAGAATGGTATTTAGAACCCCAAACCTAAGTGCTAGGTATGTCCATTGTTATTGGCTTGTCACTCTGCCCACACCCCCAGTGGGCTGGGATAAGGAATACACACACACACACACACACACACACACACACA